TGCTGCTGCTACTACTGCTGCTGCTGCTGCTGCTGCTGCTGCTGCTGCTACTACTGCTGCTGCTGCTGCTGCTGCTAATGTTGTTGCTGCTGCTGCTGCTGCTGCTGCTAATGATGCTGATGCTAATGCTACTGCTAGTCAGCTGCTAGGTTTCATCAATGATGCATGGCCCAGCGAACTACTGCTACCCATACATCCCCTCTATCCATGATTACAACACACCATAAATCCATCCACCCAACCATAAACCTATCAATCCATCATGCCATCCGTCACTCAATCTATCAATCCAACCATCACGCCATCTAAACATGCATCCATCCACGTATTAACAACACGCGTACGTTAATTTCCCTCATTGCTCATTACATTACATTACATTATCTCATTTTCCTCCTCGCTCCCCCTCTCCCCTCCTCTCTTCCNCCCCTCCGCCTCCTCTCTCCCTCCTCCCTTCCCCCTCTCCCCTCCTCTCCCCGCTCCTCTCCTCCCGCCTCCCTCCCCCTCTCCCCGCACGCGTGCGTACCACTTACCAGCTCCCTCAGTGCGATCTGTCTCTCACACAGAGCAGAGTACTGCTTCTTGCCACAGGTGGTGCTCTGTAGCGTAGTCACTATCTGTAGCTTCGTGTCACTGTTCTCCACCACCTCCAGTTCCAACATGGCGCACAGGGCCTGCCGAGAGAGAGAGCAAGCAATAGAGAGAGAGAGAGAGAGAGAGAGAGAGAGAACAGAAGAGAGCGAAAGAAGAGAGAGACGAGAGCAGAGAGAGAGAGAGAGAGAAGAGAAGAGAAGATGAGAGAGAGAGAGAGACGAGAGTAGCAGAGACGAGAGCATGAGAGAGATGAAGAGAGAGAGAGAGAGACGAGAGAGATGAGAGAAGAGAGAGAGAGAGAGAGAGATGATGAGAGAGAGAGAGACGAGAGAGACGAGAGAGATGAGAGAGAGAGAGACAGAGAGAGAGCAGAGAGAAGAGATGAGAGAGAGCAGATGAGAGAGAAGAGAGAGAGAGAGAGAGAGAGAGAGAGAGAGAGAGAGAAGAGAATTAGAGAGAGAGAGAGAGCGAGAGAGAGAGAGCAGCAGAGAGAGAGAGAGAAGCATGAGAGAAGAGAGAGAGAGAGAGAGGAGAAGACGAGGAGACGACCGAGAGATGGAGAGCAGAGAGAAGAGAGAGAAGAGAGCAGAGAGAGAGAGGACGACGTAGACGAAAGAGATTCGATAGACGAGAGAGAGAGAAGAAGAGGAAGAGAGACGCAGAAGAGAGAGGAGAGAGAGAGAGTAGAAGATGGAGAGCAGATGAAGAGAGATGTCAGAGAGAGAAGAAGAGAGAGAGAGAGAGAGAGATGAAAGAGAGATAGGAAGATACGAGGAGAGAGACGGAAGAAGCAGAGAGTAGAGTCGAGGCAAGAACGAAGAGGAATGAGACCAGGAAGCAGAGAGAGAGCGAGAAGAGAGAGGAGAGAGGAGAGAGAAGGACGAGAGAGAAGAGAGAGAGTAGAGATGAGAAAGATGAAGAGAGAAGAGAGAATTCGCGGCGGCAGAGAGCAGGAAAGCGTCGCGAGCCAGGTCGATCCAGCATCTATCCGGCATTAATGTAATATTATTACGCTATTATTGTCGTGTTGGCCTAGCCTCCTTCCTCCTTTCTCTCTCCTCCTGCCTCTTTCCTTGGCTCTCCCCCTCCCTCCTCCTCCTACCTTCCCCTGGACTCACCTCTATAGCAGCAGGCTTCTCCCTCAGTGCTAGCAGCATACAGGGTCCCAGCATCTTACTCATGCTCTGTAGGAACTTCTTCCTGCGGCAGCAGCAGGTCATGAACCTGTCCAGCTGTAAGCAGATACGAGAGATAACAGTCAGCAATACATAGTTAACTAGTAGTAATATATAGCTAGCATAGTTAGCTAATAGTAATACATAGTTAACTAGTAGTAATACATATCTAGCATAGTTAGCTAATAGTAATACATAGTTAACTAGTAGTAATACATAGCTAGCATAGTAAGCTAATAGTAATCCATAGTTAACTAGTAGTAATACATATCTAGCATAGTTAGCTAATAGTAATACATAGTTAACTAGTAGTAATACATAGCTAGCATAGTAAGCTAATAGTAATCCATAGTTAACTAGTAGTAATACATAGCTAGCATAGTTAGCTAATAGTAATACATAGTTAGCTAGTAGTAATACATAGCTAGCATAGTTAGCTAATAGTAATACATAGTTAGCTAGTAGTAATAGTCAGGTAGTTAGCTAGTAGTAACACATAGTCAGATAGTAGTAATACATAGTTAGCTTACTTAGATAGTTATCCGCCCTCCCCCTGTGTCACCACCCACCGCCCCCTCCCTCCCCCTGTGTCACCACCCACCACCCGCCTCCCTCCCCCTGTGTCACCACCCACCTCCCCACAGCTGCCCCGAACGCTCTCCCCCCTCTCTCTCACTCTCTCCTCCTTCTCTCCTCTCTCTCTGCACGCATCCCTTTCTACAGCAGAGCGAGCGACGCACTAACAGTCATCTCTACAAATCGATATGCTCCAATCCGCGCGTGTAGGAAGGAGAACGCACCATAGCAGGGCAGCGTGCGTGCCATCACCACATCATTGCATCATTGCATAGTGCCATCGCCGCATCACAGCATCATGATATCAACGTATCGTGCCATCATGACATAGCGCCATCGCCGGTCATCATGGTATCATCGCATCGTGACATGCCAGTATCAGGGTGGCATCCCTCCAACGTGGTATCATCACATCGTGACATGCCAGTATCGTGGTGGCATCCCTCCATCATGGTATCATCGCATCATGACATGCCAGTATCGTGGTGGCATCCCTCCATCATGGTATCATCGCATCGTGACATGTCAGTATCATGGCGGCATCCCTCCATCATGGTATCATCGCATCATGACATGCCAGTATCGTAGTGGCATCCCTCCAACGTGGTATCGCCACATCGTGACATGCCAGTATCAGTGGCATCCCTCCAACGTGGTATCATCGCATCGTGACATGCCAGTATCGTGGTGGCATCCCTCCATCATGGTATCATCGCATCGTGACATGCCAGTATCGTGGTGGCATCCCTCCAACGTGGTATCATCACATCGTGACATGCCAGTATCGTGGTGGCATCCCTCCATCATGGTATCATCGCATCGTGACATGCCAGTATACGATGGAGGGATGCCACCACGGATACTGGCATGTCACGATGTGATGATACCGGGTGCCATCCCTCCATCATGGTATCATCACATCGTGACATGCCAGTATCGTGGTGGCATCCCTCCATCATGGTATCACCACATCGTGACATGCCAGTATCGTAGTGGCATCCCTCCAACGTGGTATCACCACATCGTGACATGCCAGTATCGTGGTGGCATCCC